ATTCAGGCCAGGCCAGAAGAAAAGGGTGACTCAGGTTACTCCATGTATTAGCCTCCAAGTCTAATAAAGCTAAGATCTCTGCACAGTGTTTTAAGGGGACCATGACCTTGTTCCCACGGCTGTGCCCACTGAAGTCAGCTCACTTATGTTTCTGTAGCCATTGCATCTGTTTTCTGAGAAGCTAAGAGGACTTCACATGCGTGTTTCCTTCACAGTCTCTCAGCATTTGTGATCATCATAGACTGCAGAGGGAAAAAGCCAGCAAGACTCAGAAGAATTTCCATAGGCTTAAGAGAGGTGGATTGCACAGCCAATCCAATGCTGAATCCTGTCCAGTTTGAGGAAAACATTATTTTCTCTGTAACTATTGGGAAATGGATCTTAGGAGTCCAGCTGCTCTACCAGAGGGCCATCCTTGGGACACTTGCTGTGAGCAGCCACAATGCTATAAAAGGGCCTGTTGATGCAGGTGCCAAGGATAAAGCAAATGTTAAGTGGCCCTCATGGTAGACATTGTAGAGGAGAGTGGTGAGGTGGACCATGATGCAGCTGGTATGTGACTCTTCAGAGCATCTCGTTACCAACACAAACCAGCTTTATGACCTTGGCAGGGCAGAGGACTGACACAAAAAGCAGCTGCAGGTGGACCCTGGGCCACACCACCTGGCTACCCAAGCTGGAAAGCCTTGGCTCCAGAAGCAGATAATCTACTTGCCCCTCTGACTTTTTTCTTTGTCATTGATTTTCCATTTCACTATGATGTTCATAGGTGTGTTTTTCTTAAGGTTTACCAGGCTTAGGTTTGCAGCACTTTTTGAATCTGTGTCTTAATGTCCTTTGTCAATTTTGGAAAGTTTTTAGTTATTATTTCTTAAAATATTGCTTCAGTCCTGTTCTCTTTCTCCTTTCTGGAATTTCAGTTAAATGTGCTAGATCTTTGAATTTATGCTGTGTATTATCTCTCCTTTTACTCTACAGCTTCAGTTTAGATATATTTTTTTTTTCTGTCTTGTCTTCCAATTAATGAATTCTCTCTTTAGCTCAGTTTAACCTGCTATTAAACCTACTGTGTCAATAATTGCATATCAACTTCAAAGCCATCTAAATGGGTGTCTGAAAACCACATTTCTGCATTGTCAGCTGGTTCCATATTAGGATTTGCTAACAGGCAGCAATAAAGGGATACTGCATGTTTAGTATAAGAAGGATGCATTTGCTTCTTTCTGTTTGTTCCCTGTGGGCTTTCTATGGAATTTCTTTCTCATGGTAGTTCTTTAAGCATTACCCCGGTGATGCTTTTCAGAGTGCCTTCCTGTAGCAACAGCTAAATCCAGTTTATAGTTTTTCTATTTCTTAAAGAATTGGCTTCAGTGACCTTAGAGACCTCAGAATCTCAGAGGTTTAATTTCCAGGCTCAGAGACACCACCAGAGTCAAATGGCCAGTGCCTCCTCCTCCAAGTCAACAATAATTATATTTACTTTTTTTGTCCTAAGCTTTTGAGGATATAGTTAACACATAAACATTGTATATATTTAATGGAATTAATGTGTTGTTTCAATAGATGTATATATTGTGAGATGATTCCTTGAAACAGGCTAACTAACCTAACCATCATCTCACATATTTATACACCCCCTTGATTTTGTGTGTGTGTGAGAACAATGAAGACCTAATCACTTAGACAATTTCAAATACTTATGTGTCATTTAACAAGGAGAATATATCCTGAGAAATGTATCCTTAGGTGATTTCATCATTGTGTGAACTCCATAGAGTGTACTTACACAAATCTAGATGGTATAGCCTACTACGCACCTATGCTCCATAATATTGTCTCTGGCTCCGAGGCTGCAAACCTGTGTAGACCTCACAAATTTAATCTAGGTGAGAATTAATTTAGATATTTTTAAATGATCATATTAATATAAACTTGAGGTAAATTTTCAAAGAAAATCTGGATCAGTAGAGTGACCTTAGATGTTATAACCAAATAATCAAAGGAATATTTGTTTTTTTCCCCTTACTTACTGATCAGTTTTCAATGCTACTTAACTATCTTAGTTATAGAGGTTTATGTCAAGTCTTGTCAGAAAGAAGTTAGAGAGTTCCTATTCCTTGTTCAAGTTCAGTTCCCTACAGTATATCTGTGTAACTTGAACATGGTTAGAAATATCCCTTAGAGAAATTATCTCAGCTTTGCAACTTACAAACTTTAGTAGATACTTTTTTTTTTTTCGAGACATGGTCTAACTCTGTTGCCCAGGCTGGAGTGCAGTGGCAACATCTGGGCTCACTATAGCCTCAACTTACTGGGCTCAAGTGATCCTGCCACCTTAGCCTCCCTAGAAGCTGGGACCATAGCACACATCACCATGCCCAGCTAATTTTCTTTCTTTCTTTCTTTCTTTCTTTCTTTCTTTCTTTCTTTCTTTCTTTCTTTCTTTTTATATTTTCTGTAAAGACAAGGTTTTGCCACGTTGCCCAGGCTGGTCACAAATGCCTGAGCTTAAGCCACATACCCACTTTGACCACCCAAAATTCTGGGATTAGAGATGCGAGCCACTATACCCACCTTAGTGGAGACATTTTGAAAAGTGAAAATTAATTTAAATATTTTGAAATGATCATATTAATATAAACTTGAGGTGAGTTTTTATAAGCAAATCTGGATCAATAGAATGACCTTAGAGGTTATAAGCAAATATTCAAAGGAATGAGAAACATCAGACTAGGATATCATTTTACTCTTATTGAGCCATGGATTTGGGCAGTATTTAAAAAGATGTGTAAGTCCATCAAGTTTAATTTTTTTTTTTTTGAAATGGAATCTACTCTGTCACCCAGGCTGGAGTGCTATGGCATGATCTCTACTCACTGCAACCACTGCCTCCTGGGTTCAAGCAATTCTCCCACCTCAGCCTCCAGAGTAGCTGGGACTACAGGCATGCACCACCACCTGGCTAATTTTTGTATTTTTAGTAGAGATTATGATTCACCCGTGTTGGCCAGACTGGTCTCAAACTCCTGACCTCAGGTGATCCACCTGCCTTGGCCTCCCAAAGTGCTGGGATTATAGGCATGAGTCACCATGCCCGGCCAAGTATATTTTAAATTAGGTAGAAAAGATGCTTCATGAATTTTAGTGGCCCAATTAATGAAACATCTGGTCAAATAACGTAGTCTAAGTAGTTCAGGCTGCAGGCTTTTGTGAATAAATAAAATAAGTTGATGACATAAAAGGGTCATGGACCACAAGGCCACTTTCTTAAGTCATGGAGTAACTTCCATAGCAATTATGAATAGAGTTCAAGGTCACAGTTGAGAATCCAATTAGTGTTCAAGCTGAAATCTCTGTTTGTTATGTGGCTTTAAGTAACTGAAATGGTCTCTCTTTAAATTACTTGGGATGGTAACTTTGAGACAGCCTTGAACATCAGTAACAGAGATATTTCTCTTGGGCTGGTAAATTTCCATAGATGAAATTGGGGAAGGGCCAGGCACAGGGCTCACGCCTGTAATCCCAACACATTGGGAGGCCAAGGTAGATGGTTCACAAGGTCAAGATATAAAGACCATCCTGGCCAACACGGTGAAACCCTGTCTCTACTAAAAATATAAAAATCAGCTGGGCGTGGTGCCATACACCTGTAGTTCCAGTAAGCCAAGATCACACCACTGCACTCCAGCCTGAGTGACAGAGCAACTCCGTCTCAAAAAAAGAAGAAAAAAAAAAGAAAATTGAGAAATAGAGTATCAGTATGCATTGCATGTAATAACAGTTAACACTGGTTGAAAATGTGTTTTAGTTATACATATATATGTATATATAAAATGTACAAGTTGTTATGGGAACTATGTTTCTTATTACTGGTTGGGGTTTAAAATGTTTGAAAAACTCATTCAGTGAAATATCAATCAAATCACTGGTATCACTCTACCACTCCATAGTGAGCACTTTTTCCTTTGAAGTTAAATGTTTACCAGTAACTGAAAGCCCAATACACCTCACTTAGATGACATAGCAAGGATAGCAAGATAATGAGAAGTTTTGTTGGGGCTGAGGAAAGTTAGCTGACCAGTTCTTCTCCCTTCTCATTTCAATCAATGGCAAGCTGTCAAGTGAAGCAGGAGAATAGGGCCTGGAAGCAGGGAATCTAAGGCCAATCCACACTGTTTTCCTAGAAATAAGTCAAAAGGAAAACCCCAACTTCCTACACCCAAGTAACAAAACAACAAAGGCTATTTCCTTTGAATCTGCCTGGCCCACTCCTTTCTGCATCACAGATGAGAAATGGAAACTACCTCTGATTGTTCCCATACAACAACCAATCAGAGTGGTCATAGGCCTAGTCTTCATTTGCATAGGGGTATAACTTTGTAACTTTGCTTCAGCCTCTACTTGGTCCTCTCTTGCAACCAATTAGATATCTACATAGGGTGTAACTTTGTAACCACTTCAACCTCTGATTGGTCACCTTCCATGACCAATCAGACTAGTTGCAGATCACTACCTTATTTACATAGTGTGTAAACCAAGTAACCAATGGGAAAATTCTAGAGGGTATTTAGACCCCAGAAAATTCTGAAACCAGTGCTCTTGAGCTGCTTGCTCAAACCGGCTTCCACTCTGTGGAGTGTACTTTCATTGCAATAAATCTGTGTTTTTGTTGTTTTATTCTTTTGTTGCTTTGTTTGTGCATTTTATCCAATTCTTCATTCAAAACACCAAGAACCTGGACCACTCATATTCAAGACCCTTTGCCATTAAAAAAAGCTTTTCTAATTTAAACTTTCATCTGGTGTATTGCAGGAAGGCAGACAGTAGCAATTACTATTTCAAGAATTATATGTGTGGATTATTTTTTGAGGTGGGAAATTGAAGGAGAATTTTTGCTCTCTGAATTTTTGTCCTATAATGGAAAGGAAAAATAAATAACGAGAATGCATCAAGCCCAGGCGGTGGTGGAAATATGACAGGGCTGGAGGACACACCTAAACATGTGAAATTCCAATCCTGGACAGCGAGAGCCAAATTCATATGCCCCCAACATTGGGTACCCCGAAGGCTCCAATCCTGCCCTCCCATCACCTATCAATCCACCCTTTTTCCCAGGCCCCTTTTTTCCTTCCTAAGGAGCTCCCCAGGGCAATCCAGCTTTCCCCCCAGGTGGGCTTCCTCATCCTGTGCAACAGCCAGGGTATCCAGGATGCCAACCCTGGGGTTCCAACCCTCTTCCATACTCACCACCTGCCCTCAGAATGCCTCCTGTGAATCCCTTGGGTCCTGGTACGACCAGATCAGGAGTGGTAGTGGACAAAAAGATGCAGAAGAAAACAAAGAAAGCTCATAAAAAGATGCACAAGCACCACAAGCATCACAAGCATGGCAAACATTCCTCCTCCTTTTTCTCTTTCCCTTTCAGCAGTGACTGATTAAATACAGGCCCTGGACCCTTCCCTCAAGTCTCACCAGTTCGGCTCTCCCATCAAGTGTCAGATGCCATGTTCTACTGTGAGAATGTAATTCTTGTGCTCCCCACCTCTAACCCCACTTGAGCCTCACCCTGCTGTTCAGCCCTGAGTGGCTAGGGAGAATGGAAAGAGGATTGCCATGACATGGCCAACTTCTTGCTGCTTGGATAGATCATATAGCTAACGAGTTTAGCAGGGGAGCTATTTTTTAAAGATGATGAACTAAATGTTGAAGACGAGTTTAAGATGTGTAAAATGTGATTTTTTTTACTTACTCTTATAATACTTGTGATTGGGGAGGTTTGTGGAAATTTAATTATGATGAAAAACCTCTATCGTTTTTGTAATGTTGGCATACTTGGGGAATTTAGTGGCAAATACATTCTCCAGCAGGCTTTTTGTTGGTTGCACTAACTGCAGGGTTGCTGGGAAGTAGAGTCCGTTTCGTTGATGTGCTTTGACTGCCATTTTGGAGCATCTTCTCTCCTCCTTAGCCCAATATGATGTCTCAGGTCCTATTCTTATTCTCCAGCTCTCAATTCAAATAAAGTTATTTATTCTGGGAAAAAAAAACATATGAAATAGAAGAGTATATGTGTGGTAATATTCATACTTATTGAACACATGTGCCTATGCAGATTTATTATCTATACTATATATAATTGTATGTGAAATGTAACAAAACTCTATGTGTGTGGTGTTAAGTCACAATCTGTTTCTCTTTGGAAACCCATTCTGTATACAAACATTTTTGCAACACATGTGGATTAGTAGTAGGAATAGATGGTTTAAAAATATGTTAAAGCAACAACTTAAGTCAGCATGTTAAAGAAACATAAAAACCAAAATAGTACAGTAATTCCTCTGTAACAGTGGAAATAAGAGGGAAACACTAAAATATGGAAACGTATAGATTTCTCTATATACATATAAATGTTTCAGCTGTTGATAATATCTTCTGGAATAATCTTAGATACACTTACCTCCACAATACATATTTCACATTTAGTAAAGAAAATGTACTACCTACCTACTAAAGGAAATGTTTTCTTGCCATCTTGTCCTTTTCCTGATTTTACATTTGAACATCAGTATTAGTGGTGCCTTGATAAACCTAGATTTTACTCTTTAGCATGTCTGAATAGATTATTGTAATTAGCTACTTGGATTAACTTCTCTGGATTTTTGACTAGTCAGATTTTAGAGTACTGAGAGGCACCAAATTTAATTGCATAGGGTCAACCATTTTCAAATGCATGATGACACCAATCAGAGTGGACTCAGCTATAGTGAAATAAACAACTCCATGTGCATGTCATTCAGGGCACAAGATATTTAAATACGCACAAAACTAACTCTTCCTGCAGCATTGCTTAGTATAAATTAATTTACAAACATGCTTGGCCAGTGGCACAGACACCGACCCAGTAAACATTTGCTGTTGCTGGAATTGCGTGCACTGCAGATGGGTGGTGTTCCGTCATTACTATTTGCCCAATTTGGCTGTTTTAGAAAAAAGATAAAGAATTATGTATTAGACATGGAAGTCATGGTCTCTATCAAACACATACCTGTTAGCTTATATTGCCCCACCTAAAGCCCTTTGCTCAGGAGTCTGTTATTTGTTCAGAGAAAGGGAATTTATTGACTCATATAACTGAGAAGTAAAAACTAAGGCTAAATTCAAGTGTGACTGGATTCAGAAGCTCACATATTGGATTTAGTAGCTGGTCTTTATCTGTTGCCCAGCTTGGCCATACTTTCTTCCATGTTTTGGCTTCATTTTCAGAATCCATGTGGTCACAATATGGCAGCAGCTGCTCCAGCCTCACACCTCCTTAAGTTAAAGCCAAACAGAAGAGGGAAATGTCCTTTCTGTTTAAATGTCTCTTTCTGGTTAGTCAAGTAAAAGTCCTGAGATTATTTCTGATTTATTCTGACTGACTTGGCTTGAATTAAGTGTCTATTCTTGAATCGAACTGTAGCCAGAAGAATTCAAAGTCCTGATTGGCTAAACCGAGGCCTTTTGTTCTATCCCATAAACCAGGAATTAAGGCCCAACTCAAAGCATATGGATTGAAAGTTGGGAAGAGTTACAGTTACTTGAATAAAGAGGAGTTGGATGCTTCGAACTGAAAATATCCAGAATGCTAAGAACATTTTTATACAAGCTAATTCAATATTTTTAAAATAGGAATAGGAACTTTACATTTACAAGCTTCAACCCAAGGGGAATATGGAAAGAGTTCTGATATTCCCCTCATGTCACTTACTAGCTTTGTGATCTTGGACAGATCACAATCTCCAATTATTGTTCTTCCCAGCTGCAAAATGGGGATAATATTGTCTTCCTATCCGTATCACAGATGATTATGAAGATTCAAAAGGTAATGTTTCCAATAAAAATCATACTATCTAACATCTAATGGACAGTTTGTGTAGAAACTGTTATTTAATCCTTATACTAATTCTATGCAGTAGGCATTACTACAATACTCATTTTTAAGAGATATAAGGCTTAGAGAGGTTAAATAATTTGCTTGGCATCACACAGAATTAAATGACTAGCTCAGCATCCATGTCTATTTCATTACAAAATTCATGATGCTAGGCATCATGACACAGATATAAGGATTGTTACTGGATTTAAATAACTCTAAGATTCATATTTCTTCACATTTTAACATATTTAAAATCAGCATACATCTTACAATTGATGAGTAGGAGTCAATCTGATATAGTAGTCATTACTTGCTTATGTGTGAACCTGGTCATTGCTATTCTTTTTTTTTTTTTTTTTTTTTTTTTTTTTTTTGAGACAGAGTTTTGCTTTTGTTACCCAGGCTGGAGTGCAATGGCACGATCTCGGCTCACTGCAACCTCCGCCTCCTGGGTTCAGGCAATTCTCCTGCCTCAGCCTTCTGAGTAGCTGGGATTACAGGCACGTGCCACCATGCCCAGCTGATTTTTTGTATTTTTAATAGAGACGGGGTTTCACTATGTTGATCAGGATGATCTCGATCTCTTTACCTCGTGATCCACCCGCCTCAGCCTCCCAAAGTACTGAGATTACAGGCTTGAGCCACTGTGCCCGGCCATTGCTATTCTTATTGTTGTTAATTCAACTGAGTCAGCTGTAAGTGTTGAGTTTAAATGCCATGCAAAATGTTCTTAAAAACATTATATTATGATTTGACATTGAAATAGAAATTTATGTAACAGAAAAGCACAGAAGCAGAGTAATGAAACATCAATATGATATAGCGAAGCAAATGCTCATCCCTGTGGAAATAACCACAACTTCATATTTTCTTATAAGGCAATAACCACATGCTTTATGAGATCTTAGAAAGAAAGATGCCTCAAAGTAGAATCCATGTTATGTCTGCTACTGAGATATGTGCTAAAGGATTGTCACATGCCAAGATTTACAAATATCATAATAAATTGATTTTGCTTCTATTTTCCTTTCTTTATAGCACTTGGGTGATAAATATACATATATATATCCAAATAAGTCTCAAGTAACTCTGTCATTAAATAGATAATAAAAATGTTCAATAATAAAGAGGCATGAACCATAGTTTATTTGGCATTAGCCTCTTCTTTTTCTAGAAAGGCATATGGCATTGTGTTTCTTGCAGTTTATGGGCTCTTTGATAGTATTAGTATATGGAAGAAATAATAGAAAGTTTTATATTTTGAGGAGTTATTTTGCAGAGCTGTAGTGGATCATCTATTTTTAGTATCTTTAGCCTAAAAAATTAAACCATTTACTATAAAGATTAAGCCATAATAAAGAGATTTTAAGAAAAAACTTAGAAGAATTACAAGTACTTTATTACTCATAACAAATATAAGCATATTGGCTAAAATAATGGAAACAAGAACAGATTTCAGGCTAGTAATTACCCAAACTAGCCTTTCTTTACCAGGAACTAGACAGATTTGCAAAGTTTAGAAATTAGCTCTTTGGGATGCAGGATCTCTATCACTTTACCTGCCTTCATATGAAACAGGAAGCTTTTTGCTGTTTTGTTAAAATATTGTCTATTATCCATACTAAAATTTATGGGGTGGGGTGAAAGGGGCCAGGTAAAATTGAAGGGTCTTTATTTGTTACCATTAATCATTTCCTTTCCTCCAAAGAGTGGACTTTTATTTAAATTAGAACTTTTTTTGTCCTATAAAACAAATATACAGACAAAAGGTATTTATTCTTACAAGGTATTCATTTTGAAGTGTTTACTTAAAAAAACCCACTTTGCTCAATATTTGCAGTCATTAAACTGCAGAAGTCACAAGAACCCCTTTTTCAGAGGCTGTGAAGTCACTGAATGAAATAAAGTCAAATTTGGCCGAGTATTGCATTAGGAAATCTCATTTGCAGAAGGTAGGCACTTTTTCCTTGCAAGTGAGCCTACTTATCACTGTTAATTGATGATCTTCCAGGCCTCAAAAGGCTTGGTAATAACAAAATCTTTTTACTACAAAATCATGTTGAAAATACAATGTATTTTCTCTTCTAAAAATATGGCAGTATGCCCTGGTTCCAAATCTTAGTAATTCTGATTTGATTTCTAATTTCATATTTCTAGAACTTTATAGATAAAGCATTTTTAAAGAGTTACTAAAACCATGCAGCTTTGCAAATGAATAAAAATTATGTTCTCAAAAATTATTACTGTTATTTCTACCAGATCTAATCTTTGTATAATACTTAATAATTTATAAGATTGTTTCATGCCTCTTAGCTTGCTAAATTCTTTTATGTTTATTGTAGAGCACCTAATCATTGAAGGGAAATATCATATTTTGTTTTGCACACTGCTTTCCATATATTGACTTACATATTTTCCTATTACAAAGAAATATCCATGCTCCACTTGGTAGAAGTTCCCAAGGATTATTCAGTGTCTGTCAAAACAGTTTCCCAGTCAGTCATGCTGCCTAATCTCCTTGGCATTAGAATGGTTCTGATATAATGTGTCAAAGTAAGAGTTGAAGAATCTGTGATGCCCTAAAAAATGGTGTGAAGTAGAAATTATTGAACAGAAAGAGGATTAGTACTTTGAAAGCTTAGAAAGAAAGCAGAAAAAGGAAACAAGCACTTACCACACCCCAAATATTGTCAATTTTGTTAGTTGAAATTATTAGGTGTCTAGCTTTTTAAACATTTATTTAAATATTCTGACTTGCAGACACATGCTTACCTTAGTCCATGATTTTGGTTTTGAGATTTTGATTTGGGATTCTGGGATCCTGCTTGTATTCATCAAAGAAAAAATAATTATCTTAAAAATACAGTCTTTCATGAGCTAAGCTTTTTATTTTGAATAAAACTTTCCTTATTTGTTTTGTGGTATTATATGTACTATGTATGATTGTTCTTTACCAGGATGATGAAAAGAGTTGTATAAATTTCAGTGATCTGATAGACT